CCGGTGCTGCCGCTGCCCCAGCTCTCACCCCGCAGCCGCCGGCGTGCGGCTCGGCCTGGCTCAGCGGCGCTTTGCTGTGCTGAGGGTCCGCACGGACAGCAGCTAAAGACATAACGAGCTTATTTAGCGAGCTCTGCTGTGACAGGATCGTGAGGAAAACATAAAGCCTACGTGCGTTGTGTTCTGAGCAAGCGTTAGAGCAAATCACTGGTGATTACTGGCAGTCTTTCTGCTGTGCTGTTGGAATAAATTGTGCCTTTGTCTGGCTAGCAACATGCCGTGGGCTTCCTTACGCTTACTGCTTCTAAATGGCGGTTTCAGGGCTTGCTTCACTGTGGCCCGTTGGGATACTGCTGTAGCTGTCAGCTTGCTTCACTGTTCTGCGAAAAAGATTCCTGCCTGTGGCATGTTTGCTTTGCTTTCCTGTTAAACAGAGCTTGTCTTCATTTCTGTTCAGTGCTGAATTCAGCTAGGTCTCGTGATCTTGCTGTTTTTGTATATGAAGTATTTTCACTTGTGTGCGGACTAGAAACAAAGGCTTGTGTTATTAGCATGATACTTACTGCCCTTTCACACCTTTAAGCATTTCTGGTTTAAATGCTGCAGGTTGTCCTTATGACAGCCTCCTGCCAGGTGTGCGTGCTTACCTATACACCTAAGCTGGAAACATACGTTTCTTCTTTCCTCATAAACTCATCTAGCTCAGTGGTTCTAAACCCTTTGGCCCTCGTTTCTCTAGGGGCGTTATGCATTTGCACCACAAACTCATAACTGTGAGGCTCCTGAAGAAGTTGTGGCTCACCATGCTGCACACCTTGCTGCAGTCAGTTACTGGTCAGCTGCGGGCTAGTCTGGGAGTTGCTGCTCTTGTTTATGTCGGCGTGGCTGGGCTTTGTAGTAGTTCCTAGTTTGGACAGTGATGATACAGCCTTCACTTCTGCGTGTAAACAGTGATTATTTACTTCTTCCTTGAGGTTTGTGATGAGCCTTTTTTTTCCTGGACAGTGCACCTCTGCACGCAGTGAGACTATTTAAAAGGTGGAGGTAGTAAAAATAATAGCTAGGCATAAAACTTGACTGTACATCAGTATTCCCAGGTAACTCTAGTGTTAAAATCTTGTCCTACTTGTAAAGACCTATTCTTCCCATACATGGATCACAGGTCTTTGAGTTTGAGCAGGTAAGGTCTTGGTTATTTTCTGGTTAAAATGGAAGATAGTAAAGCTGGCTGCAGATTAATGAGCAGTCTCATTGCTTGCTTTCATACTGTAGCTGCTTACCCGACTCTTCTTTCTGTATGCTTTGAAATTCTGTATTCTGCATCCATTAATGATTGTGTGTGATATACAGCTGGGAAGAAAGCTTGCCCACATAATTTCTGCTCGTCTGTTCTTTGTCCCGGGAGATTTTCCCTACTAAATGTACACATGGGACTTTTATTTTTATAGGTTTTATAATTATACTCAATTTAAATTTGAATTTTGGTTGCAGTTGAGTTTTTTTGTGAGAATTGCTTATCTCTTAGCAGGAAGCACTGTTGGTTCTATGCAGCACTTAGCAGAGTAGGATCTGGTGTGTTGTAGGCTGTGCTGCATCAGAAATACTGCTAGGGATTCCATTGGCTTTTTTCAGTACCAAAATGCACAGCAGTGTACAGGGAATTGACTGAATATCATTTAAGTTTCCTCTTGGTGGCTTAAGTCAAGACTGTTGCCACAAGTTAACTCCTCTTTGTTCACAGGCTGCATGCAATTTCGTCAAATCTCACGTGGACTCCAGCAGCGTTGATTCCCTCTTCTATGCTGCGCAGTCCATCCGGGTCCTGTCAGGCTGTGAGGTGAGTTTGGAGCCCTCAGCTCTGAAGGCAGATGTTGCCAAGGAAATACTTACCTTGATCTCTGTCTTGGTTTACTTTATGCATAACTTGTGCTTTCTTTTAGTAGTTTGTACTTTGTTGTGTCTTAGGTAAATAACTTGAGTGTGTGGGAGTACTCTGTATAAGGCAAAGTGTGAAGAGCAAGTATTTGGTCCGGAGTAATTCTGAGGGGATGTTTCTTGATCAAACATTGGTGGATAAGGAAAAAGGAGCCAGCACATCTTAATGGAATTCAAGCATCTGTGTAAATTAAAACTTCTTGGATAGATGATAAACAGTTTGGATGTAAACCCTGTGTGGAAACACTGCGGTGATACGGATGTAGCCCACCCTTGCTGAATTGTGGGTGGCGTATCCAAGACCCATTTGTCATCAGTACCACCAGCTGCTGCCCAATGATGCCAGGTGAAAAGCAGCAGTGGGTTCTGAATTGTGGATTAACCTGAGTAATTGATAGTTGACAGCAAAACTTAGGGTTTTAATTAATTAAACTCAAAGGTAATGAATGATAAAGGACTTTTTTGCCCAATAGCTTTTCAGTGGTTCACCAGATCGGTGTGTTGCTCCAGGAGGGATTCGATGGCTAGAAGGTCTTGTTTTCTCAGGTGTGAATCAACATGTTCCCTGTGTTCTTCCTCAGGTTACCATTTCCAATGAGACCAGGGAGCTGCTGCTTGCGGCTGTCAGCGAGGATTCCTCAATCACCCAGATCTTCCACGCTGTTGGGGCCCTGAGCAGCTTTGGCCTTCCGTTAGCATCTCAGGAAGCACTCAGTGCTCTTACTGCTCGTCTTAGCAAAGAAGAAAATGTGCTGGCGTAAGTTTTCTGGAGAAATGGTTCACTGTTGCATGTTTATCCTCTAGGCGGTTGGAGTTTGGAGTAAAGGGTATTTTAGCCTTTTGTCGTATGATTGTAGTAAAGTAGGTGCTGTGTTTTCATTTGATGTATTTGTCCAGTTTGTTGTTGTCTCGCTGGGGGAGCGAAAAATACAGTTATGGGCTTTTTTCTGTATGATTTTGCAAATGAGCTCATGTATTCAGCTTAGTTCAAGAATAATGGTCAGAAAAGAGGCCACATCACAAAGAAAACTCCTCTTTTAAGAAGCGGTACAATTTTTTGACGTGAAACCCAGCCACAGTTCCGTATCATTTACGGTTGCACTGGACTTGCTGCTCTGCCCCTGCCCAGTGGTTTGTAGGTTGGGACGCCTGTACGCTGAGGTGGAAAACACACACTAGTAGATGGCAGACGGAATCTTGGCATTTATCGCCAAAGAATTAAGTAGTTTTACTGTGAAAGGAGAGAATAAAGATTTCCTTGACAGCTAGGGAAGAAAGGGAAACCTTAAAACTTGCTTTGCTGATGAAAAAAAATGGATTCCTGGAAGCTTCAGTAGCAAGTCTAGGGATCTGTGCTGTGCAGGGATCAAAGCTTCCTTTCTTCTCTGCCTTGAATCTGAGCTTATCGCAGCGCTGATGTTGAACCCATAACATGGGAAGGATATAGACCAATTGGAATGAGTGCAGAGGAGGCCATGAAAATGCTCAGAGGGCTGGAGCACCTCTGCTATGGGGACAGGCTGAGAGAGTTGGGCTTGTTCACCCTGGAGAAGAGAAGGGTCTGTGGAGACCTTATAGCACCTTCCAGTACCTGAAGGGGCTACAAGGACGCTGGGGGGGACTTTTTACAAGGGCCTGTAGTGACAGGACAAGGGGTAACAGGTTTAAATTGAAAGTGGGGAGGTTTAGATTAGATATCAGGAAGAAATTCTTCCCAGAGAGGGTGGTGAGGCACTGGAACAGGTTGTCCAGAGAAGCTGTGGATGCCCCATCCCTGGAAGTGTTCAAGGCCAGGCTGGATGAGGCTTGGAGCAACCTGGTCTAGTGGAAGGTGTCCCTGCCCATGGCAGGGGGGTTGGAACTGGATGATCTTTAAGGTCCCTTCCAACCCAAACCATTCTATGATTCTATGATGCAGCTAAAGGGGCATTCCCTAATCAATTAAGTTTCCACTAAATCGCTTCACATTCATTGCCTTGAGTCACCTGACTGCAGTTATGGCTGGTTTACACTTCATTCAGAACAGAAACTGTAGTTGCTTTGATTTGAATGATGTTTGGCTTTTAAGGAAGGAAAATCATACAATTGTTTGGTTTGTTCTTGTTGAAGAACCATCCAGGCTTTGGAGACGGCATCTTACTTGTCCCAGCAGGCAGATCTGAGTGGCATCGTTGAGGAGATAGAGGTAGGAACGCATGATGTTATGTGATTGTCCAGGAATTTTAGACCTCTAGTACTAAAAGATGTATTAATGTAAAATGCAAAGTGAAAACCCAATCTAGGTAGTTCCTTGCCTGGATGATGTGGGTTGGCTTGGCTCTTCCTTCCAAGCAGATATTCCTTTTGGACTTTAAACTGTTTCACAGTGGACTGAGACACAAAGTCATGACTTCTGAGTATAATTAAGTCCACTAAAGGCTGAAGGTTTCTTCTTGTTTGTAAATGACTATTACAACATACTTCAGTGTTCCCATATACTCTTGGTTACAGGCCTCACAGAATTGACTTCCATGGATCTGCTAGAATGCAATTTAAATTTTAGTAACTCTTTCTGTCAGGACCTTGTTGCTCGCCTGGATGACTTGGGTGGAATTTATCTGCAGTTTGAAGAAGGAATTGAGACGACTGCACTGTTTGTTGCTGCTGCCTATAAGCTGTCGGACCATGTGGGTACAGAGCCAGCCATGAAGGAGGTTTGTGTCTGCCCTCTCCTCCCTTGCACACTGTAGCTCACCAAAAGGATCTGCCTAGTCCCCATTGTGCGGTGCAAGGGGTATAACTGGGTCGAGTTTCTGCTGGAAGAAGTAACAAGCACGCTTACTGAAAAGGGACATCATGGAGAGAAAGCCAAGTAACAGAATTGAGGAGGAAATTCCACGCTCAAGGTCACAGGCTGAATTCAGTTTGGGTTTTTTTAACTTTTTCAAATGTACAGAAGGAAATTGCAAGTGAGGCCTAGTTTTTCTTTGTTTATTGAGACAAGCTGTTGAAAAATAACCCTAATTTCAGACTTTGTTCTGATATTTGGCACTTGTCTAGAACTTTCCAGCATTTCAAAGTGTTCTGCAAATGTTATTTACCTGTGAGGAAACACAGGCACCCTAATCTGGGGTGCCCAAAAGGGAGACAACATGAGTACAGCGTGCCTACAGGATTCCAGATACAATAACTTGTTGTCAAAAACAAAAGTGTTGGAAATTCTTTTTCAGCTTGATTAAGCTAGAAATCATTACTGCAAGCCATTCACCTAGGTTTTTTTTTTTTTGCCCACAACAAGTTAACTGAGGTAGATGTACTTTTGATTGAGAGTGGCAGCTCCCTAAAGCACAAGCCAAAGTGGCAGAGTTGAGAGAGAAGCCAGTGTAAGACATCTGAGTTCATTCCTGGCTCTCTTCCATGCTGCTGCCAAACAGACTAACGCGGAGCAATTTTGATGTCGTTTTTGAGGTGGTGATTCTGCTACACGCAATTCAAACTGTCAGCAGCCAAATGATGATTAAAAAAAGACCAATTAAGGAAAATTATCTAGTGTTGTTGGCAGAATTGTGCTGTCAGAAGTGCTATTGTTGGGGCTTAAAGCTTTATCTCTTGTGAATGGTGAGAGTGCCTCCAGAATGCCACAAATCTCTCTAAAAATTAACATGTAGTATTTGAAAAAAAACAGCTTTCCTTTATTTCTCCCCATAATTTAAGTGAGAGTGCCAGTTGCTGATTAAGGTCTGGGGCGATGTCATGCCCTCCATGTAAATGAAAAACACTGCAGGATGTGCATTATGTGGGAGTTTTGTAGCACGTCTGGATGCTTTCTCTAGTTAGGTCATGTACGTTGGGGCTCGCTAATACAAGTAGGATGGTGAATATTTGAGGTGCAGAGGATTTCATTTAAGTGTTCTTTGTAAGTTACCAAATGTATGCCTGTTGCTTTATTTGGGATTGTCTTGGATTATTCTCATTTCTGATTAGAATTTAGCCCGCAATCTTTTGCTTGGATCAAAGTACAGGTAACCAAACACTCTGTTTCCCAGACTAGCAGGGAGCAATGGAAGAATCTGAATAATACATCCTGCAGAGCGTGGTTCAGATACACTAACCCTACAAAGTCAGGCTGCAAAACCAGCTGGGGAGTGCAGTCCCACTCCTACTTCATGGAGAACAAATTAGCTTTGGCACGTCCTGAGCCAGAGCTGGCTCTGCTCCTGGTGGTACTGCTTTAAAGCTAATCCTCTTAGCTTGAGAACACTGCTGAGCCTAAGGGGATAAGCCTGCATGGGCCTAGACTGGCTCCTTCCAGAGGTGCTTGCATCGCCTCTCCATGGCCTTCCCATCTTGGCAGGTAGCCAGGACACCTAGCCGAATCCTCTGCTGTATGAAGACAATCGTACAGGTCCTGGAGCCAGATGGTCTTTTCGTAGCCACGCGCAGTCTGGGTAGTTGAACTGACGGCACCTTCCATTCTGAAACACGTAGTTTGGAGAGGTGGATCCAAATTCCGGGTTTGCAAGTTTTCCAGCACAATTCCAGCGATTGTGGTTGGAACCTCCCAGCCAAGCATAAGAATGCTAATGTGACATCCAAAAGGTAGCTAATTTTGGGTTACCTCATAACTTGAGTTATTTTTAAAGCAAATGGGAAATTAAGCCTTCGTTATGAATGATGTTTTTATTAATAACATTACACTGAGCCAGTCTGCAATGTTGTGGTAAGCTGCTGGTGCTTATATATGATTTGCTTTTCCCTCCTTCAGGATCAAATTATCCAGTTGATGAATGCAATTTTTAGCAAGAAAAACTTTGAGACCCTCTCGGAGGCCTTCAGCGTTGCTTGTGCCGCAGGTTCTTTATCCCGGAACCGCTACCACTTGCCTGTCATTATTGTCCCCGATGGGCCTGCAGCTGTCTCACACCATCAGCCTGTACTCAGGGTGAGTCCTTAGCCCCACCTTAACTCGTCTCTTGGCTCAGTCTTTGGTGCTCTAGGTCTGGGCTGACTGTGTGATGTGGTGTCTTACTTTTTTAGCTCCAGGACTTGTTTTCCAGTAGATCTGGGGTTTTAGTGGTTTTATGAAGGGATTAGGAACCTCTGTTCACCTGGGGCTTACCAGACACCGCCCTGAGAAGGCACGGTGTGGAAGTCAGCTCTGCTGGTGGCAAACCTTAGCTTTCCTGGTTAGGTTAGAATGAACTAGGTGAATCTGGGATCACAGAGTGGTTTGGGTTGGAAGGGACCTCAAAGATCATCCAGTTCCACCCCCCCTGCCATTCGCAGGGACACCTTCCACTAGACCAGGTTGCTCCAAGCCTCATCCAGCCTGGCCTTGGACACTTCCAGGGATGGGGCATCCATAGCTTCTCTGGGGAACCTGTGCCAGTGCCTCCCCACCCTCTCTGGGAAGAACTTCCTATGCTGGGCAGGGGAGAATTCTGGGTGTATAGCACAGAGGGTAGCAAATCGTCTTTGCTGGGAACTGCATTCCTTCTGGGACAATGGGTTTCACAGAAATGGTTGTTTTTCTCTTGTAGCTACAAGTGACAGATGTGATGTCCCAGCCACTGACTCAGGCTTCTGTAAAGCTTGACTACGCCAAGTCTGCATCTAGCAAAGCCATTGTCCTTCAGCAGGCAGCATTTGCACTCTCAGGGTAAGAATGCAATCTTACTTTCAGGGTTCATAAGGCAAAGACGTGTTATTTGAACAGTGTTGGACTTATTTTCTGTGGTCTTCCACCGGAAAAATGTCTGTGTGATGTCAAACTCAAGTGCTGTGGGTGTGTTTGGTAACGGGTGACAGAACACTTATGGTAGTGACAGTGAATGTGTTGCCATGTCTTTGGGAGTGGAGAATTGCAATGTTCTTCTGACTTCAGGGGCACTTGGAAGAATTCTTTTCCTGCTGCACTTGGCTGTGTTAGTTTTGTGCTGCCTCTGTCTGTTTGCCTGCTTAATCTAGCGTATTTAGAGACTTGTTGGTAGCAAGGTGGTACCTGTTTGTAGGCTGCTGTTAGTGTCCTAGAGGGTACTTACCACCTTGCTTTTTCTATTGAACAGGGATGTCTTTGAGCTGAACTTCATGAATGTGAAACCAGCAAGTGGATATTATGATTTCTCTATCAGCGTTGATGGAGATCAGCGATTCATTGCTAACAAAGTTGAGGTGGGTATGCCTTTTAATGGCATTTTAATTCTCTGCCTATTCACTGAAACAGCTTTATTCATACCTGTTAAGGATGTTGCTGGTTGCGTGGCATTTTATCATGTTTTTCTGTAACGCGTTGGATTTTTGACTCGGGATTACGACCAGTAGCCAGATTAACACATGATCAAGAGAGGCTTGTTAAAATGTCAAAACTGACTGATCGCTTAGGTGCTGATCTGACAGCATGTGAGCAAAGGCTAACAGCGGAAGTTTTTCTAGCAGTCCAAAGTAGTTATGCAAAAACAATTAGGAAGAACCCTAATTCCTCAGAGCATTTGAGATTTGACTCTAAATCTCAAGGCTTGGCTAGCAGTTGTCTGGTGCTTGCCTGATGTATGGAAGCTGAGCACTTGGTGTCTGTTTATATAAGCTCTAGAGCCCTAGAAGAGAGTCAAGGAGGTCTTTTATCTCCTGCCTGTGTACATGATGATGATTTTTGTAGTGGAGAAGCAGTGCCCAAAGCAATGAAGTCTTCATTTCATGTGTACATACCCCCTTTTTGTTGGCAAAAGCTGTTACACCACACCTTTCTGAGGAACAGTTACATATAAACACTCAGTTTTACTCTCCTGAAGCTTGTTAACACTGAGAAGAATGTGACCTCTCTGACTATTCATGTAGTTGTTCTGGTGTCAACAGCTGAGAATGCTCTTCTCCAGCGATGTCTGTTCCCAGGGTTCGATTCTGCCTCCAGTTGCCTGTTTAAGGAAAAGCTCAGCTTTTAAAGTCTTCCAGCACAGTCAGCTCGGAGTGGAGGAAGACACTTATTTACACCTGCTGACCTTTACTCTCTGTCTCAAATTGATGTTGTCGGTGTAGTAGTAATGGCACGTAGGAGTGTCGGAAGGGGATTTCCTGCTGAAGCTTGCTGCTGGCACACAGAGGTCCGGGTAGGAATGCATTAACGCCGGGGCGGCTTTGTGCGAACTGTTTCTAATAAGACACATTGTTATGGGGGAGGACTGCTGGGGGAACTGCTTTTTTCTTTTTTCCTTACTGTTATTAGCATTAATTGTCCTTAATGCACCATCGTTTTGACAGTAATGAGCTAAACCAGTGGGTTATTACTCCAGGCAGAGACTACATTTCCTGGCATTAAAATATTTGAGAGATGTTTGTGTGCTGTTCAGTTGGAGGGGCTGTGTGCAGCAGCTCTGAGTTGCCTTCACGTTACTTTTTTTAAAAATGGATGTTACATTAGTTCATCTTTGCCGGCATCTTGGAATAAACCAAGGCTTTAAAGTTAGCCTGAATAGTCTACATGCTTATGGATCCATTTTCAGGAGTAACTTCTATCTTAAATCACACTTGTTGTTGTAAAGGAACTGCCAAGATTGTTGTGTTTGAAGTCTGACCTCAGTAGTGTGATTTATGGTTTTACATATTTTTCCCACAGGTTCCTGTGAGTTATTTTTTCAGGGTGGGGGTGTGGGGCTGCTTCACATGAGCAAACCTCTAATAACAAATTGTAGTATATGATGAAAAATATCTTGGCAGTGAGACATTCATTCTCTGGGGGAGCATTTGTAAGCTGTGGGAACAAATGTGCTAATTAAAAACTACAGACTGCAGTAACTTCCTTTGAGAGGAGGATTGAGATTGGTCAAACCCACTGAGGTTCACAGCCTAGGTGGTTGTGGTTTGGGAGGGGGAAGAGAATGGGAACCTGCTCTGCTTGGGTTTGTACAGCACTTAGCACAAGGGAGAGTGGGAAATGGCAGGGCCTTGTTGACTGCCCTGCGCTGGTGACAAATGCTGTGACTGCGAAGGAAGGCTGGCTGAACAAAGTGCAGGTCTGCAGGAATGGTTTGGCATTTGCCTGCTGGAAATAGAATCAGTGGAAACCTGTTGGGCTTTAGGAGCCAGCCAAGGCATAGCTGGTTGCTGTCCGGAGACCCCTCTCATCTCAAATTGCTATCCAGCAAGCAGAAGTACATATGCTCATGCAGTTTTAAGTTATCATATGTGATGTCATCTTTAATAGCTAGTTTCTGCTAGCTTAAAAGGCAAACTGGATAGTTGGAGTGTTTCATTAAAAACAGTTCTCCAGAGGGCAGCTAACTCCATGGCTGAGGAGCTGGTGTCTTCGGAGCTGGCTGCGTGTGCAGGGAGGGAAGGGATGGGTTAGGGGTAGTGACTGATGCAGGAGCTTTGCCAGGAGGCAGATGAGGTTAGGTTCTGCCTTTGGCTTAGTGTAAAACCCTCTTTGGGGAAGGGGCAGAAGAGCTAAGGCTTCTGCGGTCACCTTGACCACCACTATTATATGCAGAGTGCTCTGAGTAGTTTTCTGTTGCGTTTTGTTACAGCTGAAAGTGAAAGTTTCCACTGAAGTTGGGATTACTAATGTAGATCTCTCTACTGTGGATAAAGATCAGAGCATTGCGCCGAAAACAACCAGGTAAATGACGCTGCGTATGTGATCCTTTGAGGGGCAGCTCTGGCACCAGGCTGGAGCTCTTCTGAGCTTTACCTGTTTCAGCTGAACCAGAAGAATCTCGGATTAACTAGAGTTCTACCCATGTTGCTTCTCTTAAACCTGTGAGTTCATTGGGAGAATACCGATTATTTTTATAGGTGATTTTCCTTAATACTGAAATAGGTTGCCTGGCTTCCGTCAGCACTTGAGTCTTCTGTTCCTTTTTGGCACCTCTTTATAGTGAAAACAAGTTAAAAGAATCATGTTAATGTTTCTGGTATTACTGTGCTTTGTAGATGTGTCCTAAAGCAACGTGTATACTGTATTGGGGGGGTGGGTGGTGGCTGTACCGTTGCCAGGTGTACTTGAAATTAATGTCATTGACTCTTTTTTAACTGACATCAGTTGAAATGTAATACTTGGAATTTAACTTGGGTTGCACAGCCTCTGAGGTGTGTGTTGATGCAGCCTTCCTGTGCTGAAGCTTGAGCGTCTGCATGTGTTCTGTTCTGCTGCCACCACACCTTTGGTTGTAGCATAGCCTTGGCTGACTGGAATGTGAGGTGTGGTATTGGCAAAAACCTTCTGGTGTTCCTCTGGGCCTTACAGCAAACAGCTGTTTGACTTGAAAATGGGCAGAGTACATAGCTCACACAATCCTACTAACAATTCCATTCATATATTTTTATTCAGTTTATGGTGGAAGAGAAAGATGTGTTGGCTCACCCGACTTTGGTCAGACAGCTCACCTGTGCTGAGTAGATGCGGTGCTGCTAGACAGGCTTGCATACCTTGTTTTCTTTGAATGCCAGACCTTCTCTTGGAAGATCATCCCAATTCTGTTCGTTTTTTTTCTTCCTAGGGTAACTTTCCCAGCCAAAGCCAAGGGCTCATTCACTGCTGACAGCCATCAGAATTTTGCTTTATCCTTCCAGCTGGTAGACGTGAACAGTGGAGCTGAACTCATCCCTCACCAGGTTAGGGTAAACTTTGGTCATTGCTATGTCACTGAGCTGTTCCATCTTAAAGCATCTCAGATGACAGTTGCTCTTGGAAAGATTTGATGGGTTTTGAGAAGCCTTGTATTGCTGACACGGACTGAAAGCTCACTGATCTTGGGAGGTGGATTCCGTGCGTTTGTTTTGGATGTGCATTGAAGGAAGCCTCAGCTGGGTCTAGTACTGCATCTTACCTAACTCAGCAAAATGAGTGCAGGTAGCCTCCACTGTAGAAAGGACACTTCTGATTTTCTAATATAGACTGTTTGGTGAACAAGTCTTTGAATGTGACTTTATTTAAAATTTTATTTATTATCTATAAAATAGGAAAAAAAGGGGAAAATCCAGCCAAACCCATACATGCCTCCATCCCTGTTGAGTGCTGTTGCACCTACCCTCTCAAGTAACTTTCATCTTGTTGCCCTGTACCCCAGGTGGGTTGCTGGACAGTCTTGGTCCTGTGTTGATGTACTTCAGAGAATCATGGAATGGTTTGGGTTGGAAGGGACCTTAAAGATCATCTAGTTCCAACCCCCCTACCATGGGCAGGGACACCTTCCACTAGACCAGGTTGCTCCAAGCCTCATCCAGCCTGGCCTTGGACACTTCCAGGGATGGGGCATCCACAGCTTCTCTGGGCAAGACACACTGAACTTTTCTGATTTGCAGGGATCTAGGCTCCTGGGCTCCCAGTTTACTCCAGCTTCTGTTAATGTTGTGCTTTTTGATGTGGGCGTAAGCTGCTCATTTCACTGGCATTTTAAATGCACTATGAGATGTTCCAGAAATGTTACAATCTTTGCTTTCAGACTTTTGTCCGACTTCACAACCAAAAGACTGGCCAGGAGGTAGTGTTTGTTGCAGAACCAGATAGCAAGAACGTATACAAGTTTGAACTGGATACCTCTGAAAGAAAGACTGAATTTGACTCTGCCTCTGGTACCTACACTCTTTACTTGATAATTGGAGATGCCACACTGGAGAATCCAATCCTGTGGAACGTGGTATGTAGCTGCAGGCATGGTGATGTGGTTTGAGATTGCTGGCAGTCTAACCAGGACGGCATGGGACAGGCTTGGAAGAAAAACTTCAAGTGTTTTTGTGCTTCGTAGTGAAGCAGAATCCTTTTGGCCATTTATGGACTCTGAGGTTTGCTGTTCATTGCAAGTTTTTAAGTAAGCATCAAAGCAAGACCGAAATGAACATTCATTTTGTCATGTGGTGGAACAGAAACTTCAGAGCTTTTATGAGTTTGTAACTTCACAGGAAGCACTTCAAGGTTTAGCCTTTCTGTGCTTACTGTGCTGGAAATAAGCCTAACTCTTAGTGATGGGTGAATGGCATTAGTGCCTCTGTTCAGAAGAAATAGCTTCTTAAAATCTGGTGGCTTTTTCTTAATTTCCTTTAAAAATCACGTCAGTCGTAGATGGACAAATAAGGCAATAGGCTGCAGTAAAGGAGTAGGTTTTATAGAACTTCATGCATTAAGGTCAAACTTCACGAAGCTGCACGATTTAATTTCAGGCTGATGTTGTCATCAAATTCCCAGAAGAGGATGCACCATCCACGGTCCAGTCCAAGAACCTCTTTGTTCCCAAACCTGAAATCCAGGTACAGTCAAACCCAAAAATTCTGTGTGGAGGGGGTAGGCCAGTTCTACTGGTGTTATTTTTTCTCATCTTAGTTTATTTTTGAAAAGTTCTCTCATTAAAAAAAAAAAAAAAGAAAAAGAAAAAATACTGTGTAAATAATGTAATTAAAGTAAGACCAGAGTTACTGCTTAATGGAAAGAAGCTTGTTGCGGTCCTCTGGCGTATGAATAAATAACTGTGTCCCCTACCTGTGAGAGAGCAACAGGTGTCACTGAGAAGATTCAAACGTGTAAATCTGAGTAGGTGAGCACCACAGGAAGCTCTCTGCTTCTCAGGGTTTCTCTTGCTTCATTCCAGCCATCTGTGCTGATGACAGGCTAGCAAGTGTTTCTGTGGGTGCAAGGAAAAGTTAACTGTACAAGAGATCAGATGTGCAGAGACTGGAATAGACAGTCTTTGCCTTAAGAGGAATGCTGCTTATCCAGAGGAAGGTCTGGGAACAGCACCAGGGCTGCAGCTGGTCCTCTGGGCAGCCGAGAAGCTTCTCTGTTGGAATACTCCTACTTATCAGTTGGTTTTGTTTGTTTGCAGCACCTCTTCAGGGAGCCTGAGAAGAGGCCTCCCACTGTGGTATCTAACACTTTCACAGCACTGATTCTCTCCCCCCTGCTTTTGCTGCTCATTCTGGTGAGTGAACTGGGCCACAGAAGAAGAAAATGTTTTTCCCATCCAGGCTGAGGTCCCTTAGGAGGTTGGCCAGCTCGAGTTCTTATTAAAACTCTTGGTTAACCATGACTAGCACAGGGGCGCTGCAGTCATAACTAGCGAACGTCAGTGCGCAGCATTGGTCTGGTGCTGTCTCTTTCCTAAGAGATTTTTTTGAGTTTATAGTAAAAACAGAAAAATACTGCTGCCAGAGTAGTAGATGGGGCGAGTTTCTCCAGTGTGCTGCTACTAGGGTGTTGGATAACGGTGAGCAGATCAAGTTATAACTAACACTAGAGTTCCACAGGAAAAAAAGCAGTGATTCTGACTCACGCTTAATATATCCACCGCAAAATCTGTGTTAATTAATCCCATCAGATTGATTCCCCTTTATGGAAATAATTGGTATTTTTGTGTCAAGTTGAAACATCCGCTGCTGCTCACCGTTGTCATCAGATCCGTGTTTGGAACTGGATGCAACACAAAATCTCATCTAGGCAAGGTAAATTACTCCTTATTTGGAGGAGGCAGCTGATGCCTGCCTTGGCAGAGATTTCCCATCAGCTAGTCTTGCTGAAAGCTGGCATTCAGCTGGTCGTGTCCACTGCGCTCTGGAGTTCACAATGTGCACGTTGATGGCACTTCAGTAAAAAATCTCATTGCTGCTGCTCCTGTTTTCCATCCTTCGTGCCTTTCTCTTTTGTATTCTCAAAACTGAAATTGGTTTTATGAGCAATCACTTTGTATGTATAGCTGTTCTCTTGCGGTGTCCAAAACTAGAACCTTACCTTTTTTGTCCTATTAATTGAAATTAATTTGGCTGGATAGAAATAGCAATGTTTGTTTTTTTGGAAGAGGTGGATTTGGAGCAATGCCCTCTCATCAGTTTAAGAAAGATAATTGAGGAACTGCCTTTGGGCTGTCAGAAGCAGCAGGAGAACTTTTCACAGAAGGAGCTCAACAGTGCTGTCTTTAGCAAAATGACTACTCTGTCCTCTTGTAGAGGATGCACCATATTCACTGAAAAACAGGCTTGAAAGATACTGAGGTTAAAAGAAAAGCTTGTGTTTACAAGGCTGTTGTAACTCAGGTTTTGTTTCTTTTCCTTGTAGTGGATAAAGATAGGTGCCAACATCTCCAACTTCAGCTTTGCTCCCAGCACCATTGTTTTTCACATGGGACATGCTGGTAAGTGTCAGAGGCTTTCTGCTCTGTTTGACCTTCTCACCTGGGAGTTACGGATGAGAGCCCTGGTGGTTAATGGGCTTGTGCTCTATTAACTGTAATAACTTAATAGCATAACATTTGTTCTCTTGTTTTCATCTGCCTTCCTGCTTTTCATGACTGCTAATATGGTGATAAACCTGTTTTGGCCATCAGCTTATAACAGCAGTCATTACCCGGGCTCCTCTCACACACCATTCATCTGTACTTAATAGAACTTCTTATTTCCAGAGGTCACACTTTCTTTATTGCATGTTTATCCTTTGTAAGCAGGGAGTTTCCGTGGGGATGGAAACCTGCAGGACTGCCATCTGCATCTTTAAAGCTTTTCCTGTGAAAGCTGCTCTTGTTCTTTGGCTAGACCATTTTTTTTCATCAATTTTATAGTGCCCTTGTTGCAGTTTTTTACTCTCTTGGAGGAATTTCAAAAACATGGTAGGTTGGGGGAACATTGGATCTGCTGTTTCCCAAATGACAGCGTGTTGCTTAATCCAATCCAGTGTCCTGAAAGCTTTAGAATATTGTAATCTACAAATGTGCAAAGGTTAATATCCTCACAAGAAATCCAGAGTATCCTCCTCCTCCTTTTAATAGCCCCTAATGTCTATAGTATGTCTGTAATTCTGCCACAAGAGGGTTGGTTGCAAGCCATCACGGTCACGTTTCCCTCCAGTATGGAGGCCCAGATGCCACCCTCCCCTGGCAGTAACGTAGTTTTCAGGTCAGTCTCTTCAGAGGCAATAGAGAAGTCAAATGCTTAGGCCTGGCAGTGCAGCGTCACGTTGTTCTGAGGATAACGAGTGGTTGGTCTTGAAAATGCGATTTCAGCCATGGTCTCCGTCTTGTTTTCACAGCAATGTTGGGACTCATGTATGTCTACTGGACTCAGCTCAATATGTTCCAGACTCTGAAGTACTTGGCCATTTTGGGTGGCGTCACATTCCTGGCAGGCAACAGGATGCTGGCTCAGAAAGCAGTGAAACGGTAAGCCGGGGCCGGATGCGTTGGTGGGAGCTGCTTTTAGAACCAGCTGGGGAGATCAGATTGACGCTGTCGTCTGTCCGTACCCAGTACAGTAATGAACGCTGCTTTGGGTCTTGGATCTTGTGTGTGGGGCTGGGCTGCTCAGTCCCACCTTCGGGCCTGTTTTCAGAATGAGGGCTTGAACCAACAAGGGCCAGGAGGTGCTGGGAGGTACAGCCAGCTGCTCCCCTTGGAGTGGTCCACACGGCTGCTTGCTGAAGTGATCAGGCATGCAGAAAGCGGAGCGTGGAAGCATGTGCACTTTGACATGGGGAGACCCACGTGGGCAGGACTCATTCACTGACAAATTTGGTTTAGTGCATGATACATTGAGCTCTCACAATATTGTTACATGACAAAAGACACTATAAATGTAGAAGAGGCCCAACTCTTCTGTAGCTTGTATAAGTTTTAAGAGGAGGAAGGTAAGGCAGGGTGTCTTCCTGCTGTCTTCCCCTACCTAAAGGGGGATTATAGAGAAAAGGGGAGCAGATGGGTATCGGAGGTGTGCAGCAGCAGCAAAGGGCAACACCAGGGAAAATTCTGGTAGAAGTTAGGGATGCAACGTTCATTTCTGTACTGACTCTTTACGTGCTGTGTTCCGCCACACAGCGTCTTGTCAGCGTGCCCTGGCTTAGGCAGCCTGCGGGCAGTGTGCTGACCCAAGCTTCCAGTACAGTGCCTTGATTAAAGGTTGAGCTGTTCCCTCTCCTTCCCTTCTGCCACACGGGGTTCCTGTGCAATGCTTAAGTTTTAGCCCTTTTGTACTGCTGTGGAGTGGGCTTTGACTATGATCTTAATGACCTCTTTGCCATCAAACCTGTGCTTTTCTCACTTTCCCCTTTTTGAGCCACTGACAGCTGTTTATCCTTGCACACCTGTTTGCATAGATATCCCTGGGTTCTCACTTTTTTGATTACACTGAATTAAAGCCAGGACAAGAGCTGTAAAATAACCCCCACAAGAGTATAATTTTCAGGGGGTTGCATTGTTTTGTTGTCTTTAAAACACCTCTGCTTGCATGGCTGTAGCAGGGAGGATGAGTGTAATCAACCCTTTCCATACTACCCTCCCAGCTTTCTCAGCCTTGCTCCTGTGGATGCCCAGCCCCCTCCACTATCCCCCTTGTTAGCCTCACAATTCCGACTGGGATTTTGTTACCAACAAGGCTGTGTTATGTCATTCAATAATGTTTCCTTTTTAATTTGAGGAGTAATGATAAAACCATGATTAATTACAGATTGCCCAGGATACAGGTTTGGGGGAAAAGAAGACAATGAAGCTTACTTCTAAGTGTCTTCGCTCAACCAGGGCTTCTGTTAGCGCATAAATGCAGGTGGTTGGTTCCTACTTCAAAACACTGCAGGGGGGTGTCTCTGTGCTTTTTCACTGTAAATGACATGAAGCTGCAACTACAATGGCAAATTTGAAAGTAAAACTTCTACCTTAGGCTAAAGTTAAACCCTTTGTACATGACTTTAAAGTTCAAAAAGACATCTTTTTGTTGATGTGCTGCTAGCCTGTCTCAGATGAAGTGCAGTGATAATTAACTAGATTGCACTTTGAGGCAAAGCTGCTGTTCCACTCTGGAGCCCGCTGGCGGGGGTGGGAAGGGGACTGTATAAACCACCTTTTCACAGAAGTTACCAGAAGGCCTGGTTTTGCTTTTTGCATTTCTGTCACTGGCTCTGGTTCCTGGAGCAGGGCTGCTTTCCTCCTTCGTATCTCCTCTGAACCTTTCTTCCTCTCTCCTTTTGGCAGGATCGCTGCAGAGCAGAGCAGTAGGTTGGCAAAGTATAGAACGCTGCGGTAAAAGGGGGTTTTGCTAGTGACCAGCTCTTCTAGAAGTAAGGGCCTTTTTGGAATTCGCTTTTCCTGGGCATGCTGCCTGTTTCATGTCACTTCATCCCTCACTCCTTTGTACAAACAGATACCTAAGCTGAAGCTGCTTCCTTCCAACAGCGCTTATTGGGCTTTGAATCAGTCCTTGGGTGCCCTTGGCTACGCTGGGTTTGCACATTAGTCTGAGAGGACACGTACTGCTAAATTGCCTTTGTGTGATTTCCTTCATCGTCTGAAGTCTGTATGGTGACATGTGCACGTGAATATGCTGTCTTGGGCACCAAGCAGCAACCGGGTGGTGCAATAAACCTAGTTTGAGCAGTATTGTTCCTGTAAATAAATTAGTAATACCAGCTGGAGGAGAGCGTGATGACAGTGGCTGATACCCGAGCTGTCCCATCCTGCTGTTGGTACTCCCTGTCACCATCTGCAGTGTTCTGGTTACTCAGCTGCCGGGCACTCTGCTGAATCACGTCCTCGCCTGGGGTGGTGAGAGCTGTGTGTGCAGCAGCAGCCAGGTCAGCACCACCTCATTCAGCTGAGAACACGACCTAATCCAGGGTTCACCTCCTATTAAACTGGTCTGGTGGCGGTGGTTCAGGCAGCAGCAGCAGCAGCCACCCCCTCCATTCAGCACAGCCACCTGACAGGTCTCCATTGTCACTTAGCAGTGCAGAGCACTTCGTTTCCTTCCGTTCTGCGCAGGTAAGGTCCCAGGTTGCTGTAGCATGGTGGTGTGGGAGACAGGGCTGCCCACTGCTCCGCACTCTGCCCGGTTCTGAATGCGCACGCGCGGCTTCGTTTCTCACCAACGCACCATTTTACTCTGGGGGAGGGAGAGAGCGCCTGGGACGAGGCCCGTGACGAGACCGCAACGCCACGCGGGTGCTGCGCCGATCCGTCTCCTGAGTGTCTGCTTTCCTGCGCGTTTGCGGGCGGCGCTCCAGGCACGCACACGGTGCTGAACGGAGCTCTGTTCTGTGGTGCAAAACAAAGCCAGCGTGGTGACCGCCCCGCAGGAACAGCGTGTGCTGTGGTACAAGCTCCTGTCTGCAGATGAGATAGTAACAGGGTGCTTCCCTTGGGGACACTGCCAAATTCACTGTAGGCAATTGTTAGGAAAGCATGCTCTGTACTATCTCCTCTCCCTGGGGTGTTTTGGGGTATATTCAGGAAGAAATTCTTCACGGAGAGGGTGGTGAGGCACTGGAACAGGTTGCCCAGAGAAGCTGTGGATGCCCCATCCCTGGAAGTGTCCAAGGCCAGGCTGGATGAGGCTTGGAGCAACCTGGTCTAGTGGAAGGTGTCCCTGCCCATGGCAGGGGGTTGGAACTGGATGGTCTTTAAGGTCCCTTCCAACCCAAACCATTCTGTGATTCTATGATTTGAGCGCAGAACAAGCTGTGACGAGGAACTGGAGTCGGCTGTCGCTTGTTCTAACGGCTGAATGCCAGCTGCACCCTGGCTGTGTTGGTGTTCCCTAGATGCCTCTTCACCATAGCTTCAGGCCAGTGGGTTTTCAGCTTTTTAGTGGCCTGTTAGCAAATGCTTCCCGAGTGTGTTCTCCACAGCGTGCACCTTTTCTGGTTCTCAGCCTGGTATTTTAACCCCTTAATTCTCCATGGGCCGTGAGTCATCCTGGAAGATCTTGCAAATAACTTACTACCCACAAGCCGTAGTTAGGTTTTGCTGCCATGTGCAGTCATGGGCGTGTTTCCTTATCGTTGGATTTTCTGATGCCCCAGATAGGTCAGCTAAGACTGTGCAGTTACAGCTTCTAGGGCTGGACTGTCAGGTGCTCAGCATCCATAGCTTATGCCTTTGTCTGGCATCTTGATGGGGAAAGGACCCTGAAAAGATGGGTCAGCTCCGCCCGCACTGGATTACTTTGTCTTGGGGATGTGAAGAGCTTTGTGTTTACACGGACCAAACTGATTCCAAGTGGGCAGCCCTGTTCTGTTGATGGTTAAGGTACTCACAGGCTTTGTGTTCAGCCATGGGATTTTTCTGTTTTACAAGTCTCATCCCTTTTGCACCAGAAATTAACCTTCATTTTGCCTGATTATTTCCAACTCCTTGAATTCAGTCCCCATTCCATTGCAGTACTTGTCTTACCACTCCAGTAAGCTTCCTTTTGAGAAGCTTCTCTGACAGGGGTCCCATGAGAGAGGCTGAGGGGTCTGGGGACACTTGTACTGTGCAAGGAAGTGCTTTGTTGCCTGGAAGAGTTAATTTTTTGGATTTTTCTTTCCAGGGCACACTAGTACCAGAAGAATGGAAGAAATGGGGAAAAACAAAGCAAATGCCTTCAGAGCAGAAGTGAATAAATAACTGAAGGACCAGAAGAAGAAAGGCAGAAGCAGATTTTTTTTATATTAAGTCAAAAGGGTGCCAGTTATACTTTTTTTTAAAAGTCTGTTTTTCATTGTTGTGTTCATGCTACTTGAGTGTTTTTCATACAAATCTGGAAAATCCTTTTTTCCCTGGATCCTCCCCTCCTTTTTCTCCCAGGACATTTGAATTTCCTTTAGAAAAAGAGGAAGAAGAAAACACAACTCTGCCTTTCCCCAGGTGCCCTCTCCTCATCCTAAACAACTTGTGAATAAAGAGGAAAGAATGGTCCTGAATTTGGGGTTTTGGCTCTCCCAGAGGCTGGAAGTTGGGCTCCCATGAGAATGGAAAGGGCTTGTTCTGGTGGGTAATTTAGTGTGTGAGTCACTTGCTGTGTGAAGCTTCCTGTTCTTTCATGTCCCTTCCCAGAGGGACATGTTTTCGGGGTGGGGGGAGGAACTTCCCACTCCTGCCTGTCCCTTGTGTGACGCCGTCACCTGCGTTTCTCTGCTAATGGCTGTTCTCTGACGCCAGGCTGAGCCGGGTTGCTGGGGCCTGGCCGCCGTGGGAGCCAGCTGCGGTCAGGTGTGCCTGCTGCCTCTCACCCTGGCAGGTTTGCTGGCTCCCTTCAGTGGGTTCGCTTTCTTTCCAGCCTCTGGAAATAACCTTGTCACTCCAAACAGGAGTTCGGTTGAGGGTATTGTCTCTCTGAACCGAGTGCCGGTTCCCTGTGGCCACGTTGGAGTACTCAAGCTCTAACTTCTCAATTAATTACTGCCCTCAGGACCACAACGCAGGGCTGAGGCAGCAGGCATGGGCTTGGTTGAAGGCCACACTGATAGTAATAACCAAAGGCCAAAATCTCCTCCTGATGAGCAACTTCCATGTGGGAAACTTAACAGTTGCTCCCTCCCCTGCATCTGTGTGTTGGCTCCCATGTCAGACTATTTTTTTAAAGGCCTTTTGGCAAAGGAATTTTTATCAAATGTCTTTTGGAGATCCAAGAAAATTATATCAACCAGCAAGCATGTGGATAAAGGGTGTGGAGCCAAATCCTCCAAAGAACTTCACATGGGTGAGACGTGACTCCGCTTCATAAATCCATCTTGCCTCTTCCCTGCTGCGGTCGTTCACGCCTAGCTCACCGTTTCTGTTCTCTGTAATAGTTCCTACCCCTTTGTTCATTGTGAATGTGACACGGGACGCTGCAGAGGCTTCGTCAGCTCCTTTAACCTCCTCTGCACTCCCTCAAAAACACTTAAAACTCCTTCAAAAAACAGTGCATTCCAGTCTGCTTGGACTAAGGGAGTTTCAAGCAAGAAATAGTTAATGCTGTGTGCAGTGTGTTACCCTGGAATTCCTTTTCACCCTGGTGAGTTCTTCTTGAGCCTCATATTTTGTTACTTCTCACTCATCAGCTTTTGTTTCTAACTTACTTTTCTCCTGATTTCCTTGTGCTAGGACAGATCCTCCAGAGATTTCCCTGTAGAGCTCTGGCACGTTATCCAAGGAGAGCACAGATGCAAAAGGAAAATCATGGAGTGCTACTGTGATGTATCTTTGAGCTCTGCCTGTTGCTATTGATTTTCTGCCTCCTTGGCTGTGTGTTAGGAATGGTTGTTTTTACTCTTTTGGCCTTTTATTCCTTAGATGTTTTCTGGTTTGCTTTATTTGTTTTTATGTTTAATCTCCAGGAGATTGAGCGTTTCTTTCCTCATTTTGATGCAAACTGAACTTTCAGAGGTGCCCCTCTCGCTTCAAAAAGCTGCACTCACCCAGCTGTTTAATCACACAGACTTAGGTCTTTCCCAAGTGTTTTTGCTAGGACTCCTGGTTTGATCTGGAGGATCCAATCTAGTGTTTCCACGTACCTTTTTCTGTCTGGCTGTACCGTGAAGCGGAAGGATGACCTATGTGCGGCTGTGCCAGCTGCCTGCGGTAGGGTAACAGCTCACCCGTTAGCGCAGGTGCTGCTGTCACAGCTTCGCTGATCGCCCTCAGCATCCCCTCATTGCTTCTTGTCCTGCTGATGCTGGAATTGTAAAACCTGAGCAGGGAGAATGTAATCTGGGGGTTTGGTGTGAGTATGAACTGATGGCCTGCTGTCCTAACGCATGGTCGCTTGGGGAAAAGTGAGGCAGTGCCTTCTCCAGCCTACCGGGGGGTTGTTTGGCTGCAAGGAGGGGTGATCGCAGAGACACAAATATATGTTTGCATGCTGCTGTATTTCCAACCTGATCTGGCCTTACCAGTGCTGGACCAGATGCTGGACCCGGTGCTGCCATTAGCACGGCTCCGAGTTGTCCGTGGTGCACTTGTCTTTGAGCGACATCCTCCGTTCTGGGCCCGGGATCGGGAAACTAAGGTCTGGACAGACAAGGAGCCACCTTGGCCTGCTGTTGGACAGGTTTATTTAGAGTAACTTTTATTTCCCGCTGTCGATGGGAAAGCAGAGCCCATCCTGATGGTATTTACATTTCTGAAGACATTGGTATTACACAACGAGAGGAGAGCTGGGGTGATGGGGAAGGAAGCAGCTGTGAGATCACTGGGTTCGGTACAGTCGGAACCCTGGCCGCAGTGGGGAGCGGAGCCACTAGATGCATTAAAACCTAGGGATGGCCCCATCTGATGCCGGGGATCTGGAACGCCCATGCCGCTGCACCTTCCCTCTGAGCAGTAACTAGCTGAGCTTTTTCAGAGCTCAGTTTTGCTGCCGGGGCTCTGTATCGAGCAGCTAGACGGCAGCAGCCCGCAGCCGTGTTCCTGATGGGTGGCAGACGTGTGGATTCATGTCTTGCCTCGCCCTGATCCGAGCTGAGCTGCGTGTGTGGTTGTGCCATCAGCGTCTATTTAAAGGAGGCTGTAATCAATTTACTAAGTTGCCTCAAGGTGCCTTTTGGTGGCCTCATGTTTATTAATCGGGCCCTCAAACAGAATGATGACTTGGCAGAAATCTTGCTGCTCTTTGTGATTTGAAAGCCTTAATTAGCAGACAAGATGTCCCCAGGATTACAAGTGTACCGGTTGTTTCAGTCTGTATGTAAAGCAGCCTGAGGTTTAACCACGGGAGGTGGGGTTTTTTCTGATTCAGTGCACAGGCCAGAATTTAGAGAGGTGAGTTAAACTGTAAAAACTGTAAAAACTGAAGTAAATTAGTGTATCAGAACTGCATTCCTTTGAACAGATCTGAGGAGGGCGTGCATCGGTTTCCAGCTGGTCACATCCCAGAACATCTCCGTTGCTGTGAAGGGCTGACGGTACAGTTAGATCCGTGAGCTCTGAATTCCTCTAGGCACAAACAGGAGGAAAAGAGAATGAGAAAAAATTCGTGAGCGCACTCAGGTTTGTCCATTCTTTGGAGGCATTTCCTGGCTGACCGTATTTGTGGAAAGGTAACCAAGTCAAGCAGGGCCGGAGCGATGCTGAATGCCACGCTCCCAGCTGAATCCGTAGGAACGGTTTATGTGAAGTTTGGATCTTCCCCCCCACCCCAGCCCTTCCCCGGCCCCCGTCTTGTTTCGTACGCACACGGGTGTCTCCGCAGCCCATTAGGTTGTGCTGGCTAGCGTCAGCAGGCTTAATTTCTGTGGGACAGGGGTGAGATGAGGGGGCTTCAGACAGGACAGCCGACATTCGTACGGGGGAAGGTATTCCCAAGGAAGGACTGTCTGCCGGCTCTCAGTCCGCCTGGCAAGGTTTGGAGCGTAATTCAAGATCCAGGTGACTGCTTTTAGGAGTCGCGGGGTACAGAAAACAGTAAGACTTTCTCTCCTCTCCAGTGCAGGGAAAACCTGAAATGTCCCAGGGTTCTGGAGGCAGGTTCTGCTCCTGGGGGAGGACTTTGTCTGCCTCTAGCCCGGCTCAGTCTCAGACAGCTTTACGAGGCTGCTCTAATTGCTGCAAGCCTGTTCCCAGGCATCCACGTGCAGCTTCCCAACACTCGTGGTCTGTCTGTGCAGACCAGCAGGACTTCAGGCACTTGACAGAATTGGTGGGGAGCGTTTTCCCCTTACACTGCAGCAAGTGCTGTTTTTCATGGACAGCAGCGGGCTGGCTGTGCTGAAGGAGAGCCTTCAGACCGCTTGAGCAGTGCGGACACAGGTTGTTACGTGTGGAATCGAGGAGGGAATGGTACTCACCAGAGCAGGGGGGATGAAAAAGGGAGAAATATTTACATGAGCTTAGCCAGGGTGCTGGGAAAGCCTTCTAACCGGCTGCTGTTGATGTCCTGAGGCCTGTAAAGAAGATAGGGCAGCGTTGGCATATTGGGATTAGGAGAGAAATTCCTTTTTCCACTGCGATTATGAGGGTGAGAAGACAGCACGGTGATGTGCTAGGGTGTGCGGGCAGGCTGGCTGAGGGCGGGCTGTACCTTACGTACACCCTCCTTGCCCGCGTAAGGAAAGTGCTGGGTTGTGGGGTCAGGGAAGGGCTTTACTCTCTCTCCAAGCGTGTCTGAAAGATGATACGTAATCCCGCAGCTTCACATCTGGAAGGCTGGCAGCAGTAAGGACCTTGTCTTCTGCGGTGAGCAGATAACAAGCTGATTCCCACCTACCTCTGGTTCTGCAGGATGGCTCCCAGGAAGTCCCTTAGTACCATCTGTTGGTGGTAGCGGCTGTCCATCAGGATGCTGTCGGACTGGCGCCTTGTCAGAAATTCGTGCACCCCCTCTCCCAGGCTGCTCTCGCTGCCTCTGTTACGCAGAGATGAGAAACGTCTTTGTTTCAGAGCTGCTTTTTAGTCCCTCGCTCAAAGTTTGGCTTAGGCTGAGCAGCATGACAGGGGAACCTGCTGGGTCTGAGCCTGGGGCCATTCTGCTTAATTTCTGTAAGGAATCAGTCGGCTGTGTTTGCTCCTGTGTTGGGAGAGGGATGGGAGCTGTCTCACATCTCTCCAGTTGGTCTTATTTAGTGGCAGTCACTGATCTCTCTAGCCAAAGCTACCCAGGTGGTAGGAGAGCGGCTGTTTTCTGTGTCCAGCCAGGCCAGGGATAACCATTTCCTACCAGCCAAGGATCATTACAACGATTATTTGCAATTGTCGCTTGTTGATATTATGGTACAAGTCTCAGCTGATCTCACACTCAAAGCCACGGAGGAAAGGATTAATTAGGCTGCTTAATGATAGTTGTGATTAGAGGGATCCAAGACACAGGGATGCAGAGTGCCCTTTGGGATGTGGAACAGCAGGAGAGACTGCTTCTGTTTGCAGTGGAAGGCAGCTATTTCTGCTACGTGTGTGAAAGAAACTGCCCGGTGTACTAAGCAAACGTCAGCCTGGGACAGCAAAGCGCTGTGGCTTACCCAAGCCGCTTTCCGATGATGGTCTGTAGGAATTTGCGAGCAGAAATCTGCCCCAGGAATTTCCGGTAGTTGTCGGTGAATATGGCATCGGCATGGCGCTGCATCCTAGGGGCGAAGGACAAGCACAAGGTGGGCTCTCTGAGCTAGCAACAAACCTTTTAGGTGAGAAAATGGGTGTTTCAGATGTCAAAATACACCAGGTATAGCACCGCTGAGATTGGGGCGGGTAACCACAGCGAGCGCCTTTTGGTGTTGGACTGTGCTAATGTTGGAGGGTGAAAGGGTTTGAGGGAGCTCGGTCCTGACAGGCAAAATAAAAGGTCTGATAATCAGTATCCGCACTAAAACATGTAAGAAGTGCCCGCAAACCAAAGATGAGGGCAAAGAACCAGTGGAAAGGAGGAGGAGAAGCACAGGCTGGTGGAGGGCAGAGCTGGGGCTGGGACATTCCTGTGCTCTCTAGCAGCACCATCACCTCCTGGGTGGGGTGATGGGAACCTCCAGCAGGTCTTGAGCCTGTGGTTAGACCCAGGCTCCCGGAAATCCAGAGGGAAGGGAAGCACAAGCCACTTGGCTGGTCCCACTGTTGTAAGGATGAATCCCCTGTGCTTCAGACAGAAATAACCATCCTCCATCTGCTGTCAGGGGCAGAAAGAGAGGCTCTAACAACCATACAGATGGATTCCCAGGGTTTGGTGGAAAATTATGTTCCCTGCAGCAGTGCCGTGCCTGTGACCCTGCCCTGGGGGCCAGCAGGACGTGGCTCTGGACATGGGTGATGGTGGGAGTGGGCACGGTCCCACAGTTGCAGGGCTCAGCTGTGTTCTCCCCTGGATCCTGGGCTTTGCTGTGCGGGTGGGACTGTGACCTGCTGGTCTGCTCATGGGCCGGGGAGCATCGTAACCAGCGTAATCCCACTGCAGCGGGGCTGAGAGGTGAGGTACAAACCTTTTCTCAGCGGGGTCTGTCAGCAAACCCTCCTCGTCCTGTACCTCCACCGTGGGGTTATGGCTCTGCAGCGGGCTGCTGTGCTGTAGCTGGAAGCTGGCAGCCGTGCCGGCAGCCAGCCCGGGACTGTACCTGCAAGGCAAAGCCAAGGCATGCCGCGAGCCGTGCTCCATCGCCAGTCAGGGATCAGTCATCTGGACCTCTCCTCCCTGTTTTCCCGCTTTCCTTTCTCCTTCTGCCATCCCCACCTCAGCAGTAACACAAGTGGTGTTCGTCACTCTCCCCAGCTAGCAACTGCCCTGAAGCTGTCTCAGCAGTGGAAAGGTGGTTGATAGAGCTGCCTCAAACACACTTCCCCCTCGCTGAGCACCAGCATCCTCGAGAAAAATTCCAGCAATTCTGGTACATTATGCTATGGCTTTGGCACAAGGCTGAAGCGTTTTCTGTGAGACGCTGCAAATCCACATTAGAGCCCGACGCTCAATTTTGTGCCTCTGTTGAATTGTAGAGGTGGGAAGTAATATTACAACTTGGGACAGTCAGCAAGGAAATACTTGAAGTATCAAGAGGCAGCTGTTAAGTTCATGAGAACTGAGAGTCTGCAGTTCTGATTTCGATGCAGGTGGCCTGCAGGCACAAATTTTAATCAGTGATGGAGTTGGAGGTGCTGGCTGCTGTGGAGATAGCCAGATTTCCCTTTGTAGGATTCAGTTTTCAATTCCAAAACCAACTGGGCTAAAATATTCCACGGCAGGTGCCTGCCTTCTTTGGAAACATCCCCTAGGCTAGCAGCGTACCCAAAAAATTAAGCCAGGGTAAAGAAATAGGCCTGGCAACCTGAATGTAACACGTACGTGTTTTGCACAAGGTCAGAGATGAGGCAGGGAGTGACGGCATGGATAAAACACTGGGCGGCTTACCTAAGAGCTGGGTAGAGAGGGGAGGAGATGGAGCATGCAACTAAATGCAGGAACAGGAGCAGGGTGGCCTTATCCAGCATCTTCCACCCTTTGGGGTCACCTGAAATGCAGAGCAGTCGGAATTAGTGGTAGTAAGGCGCTCAGGGCTAGGAGGGGAGGCCAAGTGCCACCTTTGTATTCTCAGTCCTCCTGCTCGGTCATTGGCACAAAGGGACTGGAAATGTGCCTGGTTATGGTGCTTCCCAATGGAGAGACATCTTGATGTGGCAAAGTCTGTGCAGTTTCTGGAGTGCAGTTTCTGGAGGCAGTGGCTGTGTGTAACCCCCTCAAGGAGCTGGTGTCTCCCTTGGGTGGGAGGCAGGGCTGATCTTCAGGGTTTCACGCTGTGGGACCCCCTTATTGACCTGTTCCCCGCTGTGGTTGAAAGATTGCTCTCAAGCTGGGGCGAGCCCTGGGTACCACTGCATGGGCTGTAAATACCAATGTAAGGGCACCTGGATGCTGGGGGGCAGCAGTTAGCAGGGGCTTCCTAAAGTAGTTTCGCTGCTGTGCTGGTTGTGGCTGCGATAGAGTTAATTTTCCTCAGAGTAGGTAGTAGGAGGCTGTGGTTTGCATTTATGTGATAACACACTGACGTTTTTTGTGTGAGCCTGTGTTTTGAATTTGTGCTGAGAAAAATATTGATCACACGCTCGTGGTTTTGGCCGTTGCCAAGCAATGTTTATGTCAAGTCAAGGACTTTCAGTTTCTTGTACCGCACCTGCGTTCCCAACGTCTTCTCTATGAGACATTGGGAGGGGGGACAGCCAGGACAGCTGACCAGAGTGGCCAAAGGGACATTTCATGCCATCAGACATCACGCTCAGTATATAATTGGGGAGGGTGGGACGAAGGTCTGGATTTTGGGTTTCTCTGGCTCTCACTGGTTGGGGACTGGCTGGGTGTCGGTTGGCGGGTGGTGAGCAGTTGTGTCATTTGGGGCTTTTCCATTATCTTAATTTACTCAGTAGGAGTAGCATTTTCGTTATATATAATTAGTAGTGTTGATAGTATAATTTTGTTTAATTTCTTTTCAATTATTAAACTCTTCTTATCTCAACCCACAACTTTTCTTCCATGTTCCTCTGATTCTCTCCCCCATCCCACTGGAGGAAGGGGGGTGAGCGAGTGGCTGGGGTTAAACCACAACAGCTGCCTGCGTGGGACCATCTGCAGCCACCCCCTGGGCCCTCTCCTGCCTCTCCGGGGATGCGTGTCTGCCCGCGCGGCTGTACGGCACAGGTCTGTGTCTAACAGCCAACTGGGCTGCCCTGCCGCCGTTCAGAGGTTGTGAAGAAATGGGGAAATCCCCATAAAACACCTGGGCAGAGGGGTAGTACTGGCCAGAGGCAACCTTGGCAAACCCATTTACCGAAGGCAGCAGCGCTGAGCTTGGTTAGCCAGGCAAAACACAGGCTGTTCTTTGGTCGCTGTGCTGGGGTAGAGGGGAACTGAACCAAAATGTGTCCCTTCGGGGGAGCTGAAGGCTGCGCTGTGGCGAGGAGAGGCCCTTCCGCCGCTCAGCGAGGCGCCTACGCGGCTCTGAGCACCGGCTCGGTGGGCGATGAGCTGGGCTTGAGCCGTGCGTGTCTGCCCTCCGACAGACGGCCGCGCGCTTCGCGTCCGGGCGGGCTGGAGGGCAGCGGATGACTCAAGACAGAGTCGTCTGAGGGCGCACGCCCTCCGGAGCTGAACGCGAGGCTTTTGTCACTGGAAGCCGGGGACAGCGGGAAGGTATTTCAGGGAACGCTCCTCCTGAGTTTTGACTCAAAGGGATTGATCTTGCTCAAAAAAAATTCTTTAAGAATTCGGGTAGAAATCTTTAAAATACCGTTTCCCTGTTCCCTGTCTTATTTTACACAAGAAAAGAGCAGAAAGACATTTGATCTCCGTGAGAGGAAAAAAAGCCCTTCCAAACGTACAATAATACTTTCTTTGGTTTCCAACTGGTAAGAGTTTGTTCGGGATTTTAATTGCCCAAGCAAACTTTCCAAGCAGTGGGATTTCCTGACGGGGGCGGCAGGAGGGGGCCCTTTCTGCTGGACGCCAGCAGCAGCGAGCTCTGGTCTGCTGCTCGGACGTAGCTGCCCACTCTCCCGGTTGCAGACGAACACAGCGAGGGGAATCGCGGCCGATTAAGGGTCGGTGGTCTTGCCAGCGCGTCCGATCTTGACGCTGTGGAAGTTAGCAGCGGAACGAGGGGCAGTGCGTGGGCAGACACGGGGAAGGCAGCACGCTGAGAAGCGGGGTTTGCTGTCGCACACTCCTTCTCAGCCCCGCTCCCTGTTTCCAGCCGTTTCTGCTCCCAGCCGGGGGAGCAGCGGCGTTGCGCCTGGCTCCAGCAGAGCTTCTGGTGAACACATGGGTGGCGTTCCCCTCCCTGCGATACCTGGTCTGCTACCGAATCGCTCTGGCCCCTCAGAGAGCCGAGGACTGCTCAGCCCCAGCAAAAAGTGACTTTGAGAGTCACGCAGGGCTTCTGGGTTTACAGCACATTTCCCACTTGCTGTTGTTTTTCCTTTTTCATTTGAAGCTGGAAAAAGCATTTCTCTTTTGTGCCTTTCCCTAAACATCTCCCAGACCGATCCCAAGTCAGATCTTTCTAGGTAGAGGAAATGCTCTGTCGGGGGGTACCAGGCGGCGGTGGAGAGGAAATGCTCTGTCGGGGGGTACCAGCCGGCGGTGGCACCGCCAGCTACAGCGAGTGCCATGCAGGAGCTTTAATGAGCACCAGGAAAGCCGCTGTGTGAGCAGGGAAGGTAAGAATCGGTGAAAACCTCACCCAATCACCTGCTTCCCTTTTTTCTTCTAGGGTACAGCCCTGATAACCGCTTTCTTTTGGATCTGGTTTCTCTCTTTGGATGCTGGATTCTTCTCCAGAATCACTTACTGTCCCTTGGAGATTTTGTTTTCTTTCTCTGCTATTAGTTTCTTTGAGTATTTTTTTGTTGCTGGCTTTGCCTTTCTCTCCCTTTCTGGCTTTGTTTTCTCTCCCTTAACTACAGTCTGCTTCACATCCCAGCTTTTTGGGTAGTTCTGTCTCCCTTTTTCCCTTGGGAAGGAGTCTGAAATGCAAATCCTACACCCCTTCCCCGAAGCGTCTGCTCTTTCAGAAGAGAAGCTGGGGAGTTGAAGTGTCACCCTGCATACAGGCAGCTTGACAGCTCTGCAAAACCTTGTCACCTCTGAAATTCCCCTGGGGAGAGAGATACCTTACTTTCCATTCTGGCAGCATGTGAAAAAATTATGAATAAATAAATTTCCCTTAAGATGAAGAGCTTCCAGCACCACTCCAGCAGATAAAGCAGAATAGCTCCGTTCCATCCTGTGCGAACAGCGGCATTGTGAAACGATGTTGGAGTGGTGGGAAACTCTCTCCCACCGTCTCTGAAACCTTAACCTCATCAGTCATAAAAATACCACTGTGTAGATGAAAGGCAGCTTTTACCATGGCTCCTGATTTATAAAGTTCAGACTTTTATAGTCTGGAAATCTACCTTAGAAAAGCAGAAACCCTTTCAAGTGCCTTGCTCTGCCTCGGCGTCGCTGGCTTCGCGTTACCTGTAACGCACCGTCGTGTTTCTCCTCGCACTTTGCGTCGGTTCAAACACGGTTGTGTTGACGGGTGAGTAAAACAGCGCTCGTTCTCCAGGGTAAAAGGAACCGCACCAGGATAGCCAGAGAGGAAAACTCTGCCACAGCCAGTGAACGTCTGACAGGATTTCACAAAGCTCATCTATGTTATCATTCTATTGATTTCCATTTATCCTATAGTTGAGTTATTCTTTCATTCTATAACTTGGTACAAAACCATCTTGTAGGGTACAAAGGATATTGTACCTAGCAAAGCTAATTACTAGCTTTGATTACATTTCAGCCTAATTTAATTGTCTCCAATTTCCGAACAGACATTATCTCGTTAAAGGCACGTACAGGGACTCACACTTACCGTTCCCTCGGAACACAAGTGCTTCCTAGCTCGGCTCCTGCCCAGGTGTTTCCTTCCCTCTCGTCAATACAACTTGTGCAGAGCTGCTCCTGCGATCCCTGCTGCGTCCGTCCCCTCCGTACTGCGCGGGGAGGACGCTCGGATCCCCCCAGCTGTCCTCTGGCTGCCAGGGAGGTGCATCTCCTCTCTTTATACCTGTGCCACCTCAGGAGTCCTGTGGGCTTCTACGCGTCAGAGAATCAATTATCCTCCTGAATTTCAAAGGCTGCGTTTAGCATCCTCTTCTTTGTGTGTGTGCGAGGACGCAGGCGGGGAGGTTGCGCGGGGAGAGGGTTCTGCCTGTAGTCGAGGGCCATTTGCATGCTTCCTCTTCATCGTTGGGAGGGTGAAGAGCAAATAACAACGATAATCTGACAGAGTGAATGACAGATTTGCTTCTTTCCCTTTGCAATCGCATTTTTTCCTTCTACTCCACAAAAAGCATGAGTTAACCGTTAATACGTTCTCACACTGCCTGCTCAGGAGGGTTTATCTTTTTGCTATTTTCCTTTTCTTTGATTATCAGCCTTTTCCCCGTTCTCCTTTATTACTCACACCTGCTAGCGTTAGCGGGGCAGTTCGTGCTTCAGCCCCTCGCACACATCACAGCTTCACATCAAGCACATGGAGCAGCTGGAGAGCCCCGCTCCCTTCGTGTGCTCCGGAACAAGGCAAGGGTCTCCCCTGGGGTGCTGCATGTGCTGGCAGCTGTTTTCATTCTGGGAACAAGGTTTATGAAAGCCCCATTAAAAAGAACACATAGCCTTGGTGTCAAGAAGACCAGGACGGTTCAGAGGAGTTAAAAATGAGGTGCCAGCATGAGCTCCACCTGCCAGATTTTTCATATTGTCTTTATAATGCCCAGAATTGATGGGGACCCAGACCTTCATGTCTCAGGGCTTGTGTGACTCGATGCTGGGAAGAAGTTTCAGCAGGTGAAATGACTCATATCCGCCTGCTGCCAAATGCCTTCACCTTGCTCCGGAGCGCTCGCCGCAGCAGTCGATGGCAGAGATGGATTGGAGGGAAGGACGGTGCATCTGGTGTGCATGT